GGAAAAATCTTGAAAAATCCTCATCAGCATTTGTTAACCGACGAGACCTTATTTTATGCTTCGAACCACAAACACGTTAAAATAAAAGTTGACTTTGAGACAAGGGAACCAGAAATGGGAAACATTTTAAGTCTTCTCTAGGGTTTTATGACTCCATTAACTGGCTGGTGAAACCTCTGATGAGCACATTCACAACGTTTTGGGGCATGTGAGAACTAAATGCATGCATTCTACATACAAACATGTTGAGAGATTGTGGTTTCCTCAATAGTGGTTATTTAACCCAGGATTAATCTTCACATAAATCAGTACTTGTCAACCCTCCCCGAATTTTCGCGGGAGACTCCCGATTTCATTGCCCTCTCCCGGTTTCCTCCCGGGGTCATATTTCTCCCGATTTCTGACAAAATCAGATTTACTCAGGACTGTTTCCACTCGGACTTTAATACAGCTACACCATTGTTTGGTTTCCATGGTAACACGTCTCTTTTGTAGCGCGCGCAACTGAAAGTCTGACAGGGTGAGGCAGATAGTCACAGAACAAGAATCGACAACTACTCTGCTCTGGTATGTTATGCATACTTGCCGTTATGCAAAATGGGGGGGGGCGTGGTGCTAGTTTATCGCCGGAGCTGTTAGATTAACATTAACATGCTTATTGTAGTTCTAAGTGCAGCATGTAGCACCATCCTTGATGGAGTATATGTGTGGGCAGGAAAGGAGTGAGCAGAGAGCAGCTGTAAACTCCAACCTGCATCACCCAGTGAAACATAGTTGTGTGAAGCATGCAGAAATATATTACAAATATAATGTAAGCTTAAGAACTAACGGCATATTTAACTCACAGCTTTTCACACCTATTTTCATTCTGAACAACATTGCAAATTGACACATTGAGGGATTGTCAGATATTCCTATAGCAAGCACACCTCTGTCTTTTCATCTGTCTTTCACACATAAGTAAATACGAGTCAATGCTCTCACATTCACACTTATCTGCTAAGTGTGAAAATACAGAGATGTATAGCAGCTTCAGCAGCAGCAATTTACTACAGATATGTTCAAGTCAAACGTTCAAAGGTTTTTAGTCACGTTTAAAAAAAATGTATTGGCAGCTGTAATGAAATATTGGTGTGAAGTGTTTTATAGTTTGACGTGGAGTACAGTCATGTCACATCAAATGCTACATTTTGAAAAGACTCCATGGTAAAGTCCAAACTAACCCCACAGCGACATTGACAGTACATGTTAGATTTTAATGGAGCCTGTCAGCACTTCACTTCACTTCACAGCAGATGCTCGACAAAAATGCAAATTCTGGTTGTTTTCTTCATTAAAAAGACACTGTGTCTCGTGATGTCACAAACCAGAAACAAAGAAAAGGAAAACCCACGCAGAACAAACTTTCAAAAGTATTTAAACTAGACAAACAGTTTAGTTTAAACTCACCTCTTCAATCTGGCTTTTAATGTGTGATGGTTGTTATATTGCTTGATTTTAATTGGACTGAAACTATATTTATTCGTTGCTCTTTTCTTTTCACTATCTCTGTAAAGCAACTTTGAGCACCTGTAAAAGCGCTTACAAAATAAATATATAATTATTATTTAAACTATGTCTTTCTTCAAACAATTAGCCTTGAAACCTCAAAACACACCGAAGTCCAAAGAGTGACAACACACATAGTCATTTGATTCAATTTACAGTATTAAATAGAAAACTCAACAAAGACATGTCCCATCATTTCCAGACTGCAGCTTCCTGCCTACAGAACAGTACAGCTTACAAAGAAGAAATACAAATATGATCCTTTCACAACAATCACATTAAGCTCTTCAACCTGCTGGTAATCACCTATTTTTAGAAATGTGACAGTGACAGTGATTTGATTAATGATTTTTTATATATCCTGATTACGTAATCCTGTCACATGTAATCCATTCCTCCCGAAGCCTGATAACTGATGTTCAGCAGTAAGGAGAACAAATATTGCTTACATGGTTAAAACAAGAACTGCACAAGAGTTGAACTGGAGCAAATAACACATGGGGAATTGTCTGCTTTACAGATATGCCCTCCCATCGGATCCACCTCACAGACCATGCTGCTTCCTGTCAACGTATTCAATATAAGATAAGAGCCTATCTCCGCACAGCAGATACACAAATAATTTAGACTACAAGGAAGCAAGAAAAATATATGTTCTTGTCTACTGGATCACTGGGGTTGAAACATGTGGATTTGATCTTGGTTTCTGTAGTGTCACAGGATTTCAATGTGGGCATTTGTTATCTTAGAATACCTCGACAAAATTCAATTCAAAGCTCCTTTTAGGAAGGCCTTTAAAGTGTTGACCTCAGCGCCGACTCGTTGCTTTTATCACAATAGAATGGTAATTGCAGGTTTTACTGGCTTCAATCATACTGTTTTGTTGACTCCAATTTTTGTATGAAAGAGAGCCCAGAGGAAATGTCAATAACAATCTTTCGTTTCACAAAACAACTGCCCTGTTAGAACTTACACCTTTGATACCACCAATGTTCTGTTAACGGCAAAGGATAAGTGGAGGGGTTGTTCTTTATACTTTTCCGTATACTTTGTTTAACAAAAAGGTTCGACTGAGGTTTCAAACATATTGCAGATGTCTCTTCTAGGAGGAAGAAAGACATACTTAATAGTTGTTTAGCCCCTTTGTTTTTGTTTTGTGTCTCTTTGCGGCCATTTTGAGTCTTGCTTTGGTTGTTTTGCTTCTTTTCGTAGTCCTTCTGCGTTTCGTTGTGGTTATTTTGTATTGATTTGTAGTCCTATGTATCTCTTGGTTGTTAGTACATTTCTCTAATAATTACATATTGCAAGTGACTGCCATGGGGGCCCTGACACTTTGGACCCCTTGGCCTATGCCAGGTAGGTGTAAACAAACCATTGCTATACTGTTCGTAAAGAGGGAATACTAGCATAGCTTTGATCTGTGAACAACAGAGTATGATAGGGGATTCTAGCTTTGAAGACACCACTTTTTGAAAGCAATCAGCCCCTGCTAAATTGCTGACACCAATTTGGCACCAAAGGTTTATAATTACGCAGTGCAAGTAGCTGTTATACCTCATTCACACCAACGGTGTTTCAGGGCCGGTTCGGAGCTGGAGCTTGAAAAGCACCGGGTTTTCCTGTTCACACCGCAGCGGAGCAGCCTCTTAGCTCCGGAATCCGGTTCATTTCGAGCAACCAAAAAATTGTCCGGCCAGAGCAAAAGCACCACATACGTCACGCTTACGTCGAGGCGGGGGCAGGGGCGGGATCAACTCCTGAACAACAACAAAAAGCCGGCGTTTTATCCAGTTTGTACACAACGATGGAGAAACTTAACAAGCAGCAGTGGTCCACTGAAGAGACCAGCTACCTATTGGGAATCTGGTCTTCTGAAGAGGTACAGAGGAAGCTGGAGCACAATCGGCCATTGTTGTTGTTGTCGGTGTCAGCTGTGAGGGGTTTCCGCGCGGTTTGGCTTTATGAAGCAGGCACGCAAACGGTTACGTCATGACGCAAACGATGACGCAATGACGCAGCACCAGTCGGACTCTGGGCGGTGTGAAAAGAGCCGGAGCTAAACCGAAGAACCGGTTCTGAACCTGAAAAGCTCTAGCACGGAGCTTGAACCGGAGTTGCGTTGGTGTGAATGAGGTATCCGGGAGGAGAGGCCGCGCCCCCCCCCCCTATCAGGTACAACGTATAGCCAACATGCTATGTTCCAGCAGTGTTCGCATGACAGATGATAATCAAGACACCCTTTATTAATACAGGCATTAGTTATAACGATAGCATGAGCAGAGATACAGGCTAAGGATAAAGAGTACAATACAGCAAACACACGTTACATCATTAAGCACCTCACAATGACATAACAGTCTAGTCTTCTGTTCAGTCAATGAACACAGCAAGCATTTAGGGTCCGGGAGTTAGGGTGGATAACAAGATCGTTGGCATCATCTGAAAAAGGGCTCTGAATTTCCACTTATGTTATACAGGGCCCCAAAAAAGGCCAAAAGGCACCCCAATACACAAAGGTTACTGTGTTCATTATGTCCGCAACTTTGCAGTTTTTCAAAAAGATAATGGTGAAATGCCAGAAGGTTAAGTAATAATTCTAGTCACTACATCTACGTTTACCAGGTAAAGTCTCCACATAGGTGGATGTACATGTACTGTGCATCTCAGTTGAGTCGAGTGTACATGCACTAATCCTATTCA